TCCTGCCTCCTTTCAACCATAAACATCTTGACTGTTGCCTCCATGAGGTTTCCACAGCTTTGACCAGGTGCTGATTTGCAGTTTTAGAGTCAGTCGCCTAGCCCCCTCTGTTCCAACGCAGAGAGTTGAACTAGAATGCTCTTAATTTGCTTTCTACCTTGCCATAGACCTCTTTATTCCAGTTTGTGATGTCCCTTTTGAGATTCTTCTGCTATTGAACAAGTATGAAGTCGGGACTGCCATTAATTGTGTAACGTTGCCACCATTCCTTTGCTATATCAAGGAAGCCCTCAGCCTTTAGCCACATGTTTTCGAATTTAAAATAAGAATGGCCTGTCTCCCTATCACCACTCTGTAGCATCAAAGGTCTGTGACTTGATAAAACTATCGGGGGAGCTACCTGCTTAATTAAGTTAAATCTATCATCCCATTCAGACGAGAACATGATTTTATCAATTCTGGAGGCTCGTGTGTGCGCTTCATCTCTAACCCAAGTGAAAGTGGCATCCTGTAATGGCAGATCAATCAAAACCAGATCTTGGATTAATGCTGAGAAATCTCTCATGACTTTAGTTCTCCTTGTATAATGTAGCCTTTTGTTTTCATATCTGCATACGTTAAAGTCACCCCCTAAGACCCAATGGTCCGCCATAATCCCCTTATACCTATTTCATGCTATGATATTTCTGTCTCAGGATTGGTGTGAGGCCCATATATCCAGTGAAACACCAACTAAAATCCTCTTGAAGAGATTCTGGCATACATGAGATAGAATAAGAGCCTTGGTGGATATCTGTACATTGCCATTGTCACTTGTCCCACAGCACTATCATCCCTCTCCTTGTGCCACTGGGTTTTAACTCAGCCCAATCAGCCCACCTATTGCCCCATATATGATGAATAAGTGTAGTTGACCAGTCTTCTACTTTCGTCTCCTGTAAACATATTATGTCAGACTTACATTTGTGAATCAGAGATCTGAATTTAGCTTCTTGAGGAGCGAAATTTGTAGGGGTATTTCACAAGTAATACTCTCTTTAATCATACGACCAGTTAGCTTTGTTACAAAAAGTTTCCATTATATTTCATTATTGATCTTCTTGAGGAGAGAAATTTGTAGGGGTATTTCACAAGTAATACTCTCTTTAATCATACGACCAGTTAGCTTTGTTACAAAAAGTTTCCATTATATTTCATTATTGATCTTCTTGAGGAGAGAAATTTGTAGGGGTATTTCACAAGTAATACTCTCTTTAATCATACGACCAGTTAGCTTTGTTACAAAAAGTTTCCATTATATTTCATTATTGATCTTCTTGAGGAGAGAAATTTGTAGGGGTATTTCACAAGTAATACTCTCTTTAATCATATGACCAGTTAGCTTTGTTACAAATAGTTTCCATTAAATTTCACTGTTGATTGTATTTTTCATTTTTCCTTCGGAAGATTTGCCTAAAGATCTTGTAGTGCTCAGGTGTTGATTCTTTCTCTCAGGGCCCGAGTAGAAGTGCCCGGAAACAATATGCAAAAAGGCAATGGTTGCGAGAAATGGTCAAAATTTATAAGAATGCAGCTTCTGAAGCAGAGGGACTTGTAAGTTAATTATAAGATGTAGATATTTGCCTCTCTTTTAGTTCTCAATTTTTTTTTAAGAAGTAGATATGCCAACTGTTGTTTCCATGGTATGTTATATTTGAGTGGAAATTTTTTGCTGCGAAACTGGAAGGAAGTGCAGGCTAATGGTGGAAGACGAGCTGGTAAATTGCACTCAAAGTGGCATGTTAATGGTGAGACTGATGGCAGACCAATGGGACGTGTGAGTAGTGAGATACCGATAAGTACTTCTTGCTTTTGCTTCTGATTCATGTATTGAAAACTAATATGATAGACTTTGCAGAGGAACTGGAAGCAGCAACAAAGCAAAACTGAATATCAAGAGGTGGTTGGCCAACCAAAAGGACTTGTGAGTGATCAGACTAGAACAAATGTTTTAATTCTTCTGCATAGTCTCATTTCTGTTGACAAAGTAGTGTCTCACATGTAGCTGCACTGGAAGAAATTGCGGGAAGAAGATAAGGGTAGAGATACGAACAAACAAGAGCAGGTGAATGAAAAAAGCACGTTATGTGGAAAACCAGGACAACAAAGTGATATGGAGGCTGAAATTGTTCCAGGTTGTTCGTTTTTTTAATGATTCAGCTGTCCTCCACTTTTCAGGGGAAGGAGTTTTAGATGCTATTCTTCTTCCTTCCAGTTTTTAAAATATTAATTTGGGTTAACCGCTTCTTTTACCATGGTTACAGTCTTGCATTCTTTAATATGGAAGAACTCTGGTTATCAATAAAAATAAAAATATGGAAGAACTCTAGTGTCTGAATTCTTTTTGGTTAATGCAGATCAAGCTATGCAGCATGATCAAGTGCAAGAGGTAGGTTCGGCTATAGTTTGTATCATGATGTACTTGCAATTACTTCTCTTGAATTTCTATATAAAATTCAAAGGAAGAGTTTTAGGCACCAAAAGTAGAGTTGTCAAGTCACAAGTGTAAAATTTGTCTTGAATGTCATTTTGAGATTTGTATTCAAGCTTAACAATTAGAGATGCTAATATAAGGAGAAAACAGATCTGGAATACAGTATCTTTATGATGTTTTGTAAGAAAAAAGCGACAACTCTCTTTCATGAAGGACAAATGATTAGCTTTAAGGTGCACCATAAAAGAATCAATGTGTGGAGAAGAATCCTCATTGAAGCTGAGCATAAATGACATGTAAGATGACTCATGTGTATAGAAGTTTATGCCACATGACCTAAAAAAGTTATTAAACTAGGATTATCTCCAGTTTTTTCTTTTAAGTCACATTGAGATAACTCCATTTTGTAAGGAAGATGGATCACTGGAGTTGCTTGGGCTGAGTGAAATCGAATTTACATCCTGTCTGAGTGGATGTCACTAATTGGGAATTTCGAACCCAAATTTGAGGAAGTCTAGTTAATTACAGTTCAGTGCTATTTTTATGTTCAATTAAGTCCAAAAGTTTCTCTTTAGTACAGGACATGTGTCATCTCTTGAGATGGTTTGTTAGCTAGTGGGGTCATAGAGTATTGTTGTATATCCTGATTTTATAGTGTATCAGTGCAGTCTCAGATGGAGATATTGATTGAATGAAAAAGTTATTTTAATTCTCATTTCTCTTTAATTCCTCTTTGTTCTAGTTTATGGCGTTCCCCAGTTGGGAATCACTAGAGTGGATTTCTCTATGTGTCGTGTTTTGCACTTTAGTTACAAATAGTTAGATATGCAACTTCTGATTGTAATGCTAATTGCAGAGGCCTTCTTGCGACAACTTGGAATAATAAATTGCATCTTCTTGCAGATAGCTTTTCCGTCAATTCATGAAGTTTCCCTTGTCAAAAATGGTAATTCAGACTCTGTAGGAGGACTTCCTGCTACAAACAAATCAAATCCAGTGCTTAATGCTGTTGAGAAGAAAACTAGTGGCCCAGCTATAGGTAATTATCATTGTTATTGCACCGGCTATGTGGTGGAGTTAGTTGGACGAGATTTCATTATATCAATGTTACTTTTCCTTTCCGTTTGAGTCATTATAATTTGACTGTTTGTGGAAATGAACCATGGAAACCAAACACATTCTGTTCATAAAAGTGTGAGTCGATGTTTTCTGTTAACTCCTCGATGATTAGTCATTACTATATTATGAATTCATTGGGTGTTGAAATTCATAACCAGGTGTTAATGTTATTTGCAGAAAATGGAGGAGTAAACCTCTGGGAACAACACAGTGAGACCAATAAGGCGGAGCAGGAACAGTCACATAAAGAAAGTAGCTGGGGTACGTGGAGCTCTGTGAAGAAGAGCTCATGGTCAGCGAGAGCCTTGAAAGGCAGTGCTCGTGGTCCTACAATGGCCTTTCGAAGATATAAAAGATGAAATATGAGATGAAGCAAACTTGTATATATTGTTCCTTACTCTCACATTTTTTGCTGAATGAAGTCAACGAACTCCGTTTTGTAGGTATCAAGGGGAAACTTTGTTGCTTATAGTAGCAGCAAGTTAGTGTTACCTAAAGTTTATCTGGATGCCTTAGTTACAGCTAGTATTTAAAAATGTTCCATATGTAGCTTGACAAAACTTGTTTACCTTTGTTGTACTGTACTGCAAATCTGCAAAGTGTCTAACCTAAAACTGGTTTGAGTTTTTGGTGCAAGTAATTCTAGCATATGTGTGCTTTCGCATGGTTTCCTGTTATTTCTTCCTCTCTTTTTACTCGAGGTTGAAGTGTATAATTAAAGGAAATGACATTTTATGTGGTTAATTTAATTATCTAATATAAAAAAGAGGATACACAATGTTTTCGTTTCAAAATTTGAATGTAAAATATCTAGTTGGAATACTTTATTAGGAATTAAGATGTTTAATTAAACACATGTTTTTATAATTTGGTCTCATTTCACATTATGCCCTTCAACTTTGGGTGAACATTAATACACTTCAATTTGTATAAAATTAAACAAGTAGACATATAAGTTGTATGTCTCATAATACATGTTGGACTCAAATTGACACATGGGACAGTCTATTTGTTCAATTTTATACAAGTTTAAGTGTCTATTTATGCATATCAAAAGTTGGAGGACATAAATGTGAACTGATGCCAAATTAAAAAGCATATTTATGTATTATGCCTTAATTAAAATATGATTTAGTTCTAGTTTCTAAATATTGTCTTGACAAGTTTAACGGACAGACCATTATGAAGCCTTAAATAAACCTTAATTACTTGACAATGGTTAATTATTATTAGTATATAAGTTAATCATAATTTGTGTCTCTTAAAATAAAATCATTTTCTTTTGGGACAACCTTCCCATCACAAGTTAAATTTAACGGTCCAATTTGCAAACTGATTATTATGATTTAAAAAAACGAATCCAATGTTTTTTTAAGAAAAATAATAAATTCCAAAAAACTAGCCGTTACAAAGCAGAAGAGCGTCTAAAGCTCAACGTGTACTTCTTTTTCTCGTCGATTGATGAATGCAAGAACCAGAAAACCCTAGCCAATCAGCAATACCACAAAACCCAAACTCCGATCAACTTTCCGGCGACAATCACATTGCTTTTCCCCAGTGACTGATGGATTCCAACTGCAAATCCACTAGGCTTACGCCTAAGAAATGCTCCAAGAATACCGAAAATTTGAACCCCAATGTCGAAAACAGTCCGGGTTTTTCAAAATCTTGTAAATCACCAATGATGCCCAAATCGTCGATGAAAACCCAAAAGTCAGTTTCCAGAAACCCTAATACAAGTCAATTGACTTCGCCTTCACCCAAAAACAAAATTCGTCAGAGGAAGTTTGTTATCGCCAAGAAGAAGAAGTCTAATAGAGATGATGTGAACGCTGCAATGGTTTGTAAGTGTAATAAGGTTGGTGTTGAGAAAAAGAAGTGTCTTTGTGTTGCTTACGAGACTCTCAGGGCTTCTCAAGAAGAGTTCTTCAAGAATCGTGGTGGAAATGAACAGGAGGAGGAGGGTGAAATAGAGAAGTTGGATCGCCTTGACGAGTCCTTGATTTCGAACGTTCAGATTGTTACTGGGTGTCTTGGTGATTTGCCAGTCAGGCACAACCAGGAGGCAACAATTCCTGTTTCAATTTCTGAGGGTGAATTCGTTGAATTGGCGGAAACATCAAAGGAAGGCGTGGGTTCGGGTGGAATGAGTGTTGTTGGGACTATAAAGAGGGGGAGGGAGAGGTTGTTGGAAGAAGCAAGACAAAGTGTACCTGAAACTAGTTCTGGGAAAGTGTTAAATCTTGTTAAGGCTTTTGAGAAGCTTCTCTCAACACCCAAAAAAAATGAGTGTGAGGAGAAAGGGGAAAAAGATGAAAAGGAAGAAGAGTCTAGTAAGGAACAACAATGGGCATTGCCTGGCTTACAGCCCCTCGTGATTCCTGAGACACAGGTATCTTCTTCTTCGTTTTGTCCACCAGATTTTTTCCTCACCTCCGAGAGTTTAGGCTTGGATTCGCATCGTGCCTCCTCATTGGATAGCAGCCATGGATGGTTAGTACTCGAAACACCACTGATTCATTTTCTTTTCTGTTTCACTTTCCAACATTATAAGGATTCACTATATGTCAACTAGTCTTAAGCTGATTTTCAACCCTGCTTTATCTGAGCTTGTATATGGTAGATTCATATAGTAGAGTCCTATTTGTTTATGATGGAATGTAACTTTTGCTTGCTGTTGTTCTTTTGTCCCTCATTTGGGCAGTGGCGGAGCCAGAAAATTTAATAAGGGGGTTCAAAATTTGAAAAGTAAACACACGAACTAGTGGAAGGGGGTTCGACATCTATTATACATACCTAAAAAATAATTTTAACCATGTATAAATAGTAATATTTTTCGCCGAGGGGGGTCGGATGACCCCCCTCATTACATGCTGCCTCCGCCACTGCATTTGGGTGCTGATGAAATTTTTACTTATTTTTGCTATTTGAAGCTTCAGTATTTCAAGCAGGACTTCAGGTGGTGGTCAAAGAAGCAGACGCGATGTAAGAATTTATAAATCCATCACCATTAGATAAGAGCAATCTGTGTTGATCTCTACTGATTTATTTCCATTCTTAATGCTGCAGAGTGCTGAATCAATAGGTACGTTTCCTAGAAGAAGCTGGAAGAGAAGGCATCGCAAACCGACCTCCCAGAAGCCCTTCAAACTTATAACTGAGGTTTGTGAGTTCTGTGTTTGGTTGCTCTAGCATTACCTACTTGGTTGCTTGTTGTGCAAATATGACCAAATATGTGGTAGCATTATATCTGGTTGAGGATGTGCTATTTCGACAAATAATTATTTAAACAGAATGAACTAGGAAAGCAACAGCACCATACCCAGTGCAATCCCACAAAGTGGGGTCTGGGGAGGGTAGAGTGTATGTAGACCTTACCTCTACCTCGTGGAGGTAGAAAGACTGTTTCTGAAGACTGGACTATGAAAGATGGATTGAATTTTGTGTGGCTACAAGAAAATCAGAATATTGGTCTTTAAATTCCCTTTGTTATTGACATTCATAATGGTCATTGTTCCCTGATCACTAAGTGGTCTTTATTTGTATAGTTTCCTATTAATTGTGTCCTTTCATTGTTGAACTGCATATATATCAACCTTTTCAATTTAGGGTGTCATGTTAAATCCAATTAATCATTTACCAATTTACTTGAGGAGTTGCTTAGATTGGCTGTTGCTGCAGGAAAGGGGAAAAAGCAAGGAGCAAGAATTTGTTAAGAAAGTGCAACAAATGGTGGAGGAAGAGGAGAAACAGAGGATACCAATTGCACAAGGCCTTCCATGGACAACAGACGAGCCAGAGGTAGCATAAGCTTTTCACCGTAGTCATGTCTAATAAGTACTTTATATGTGAATGCATTGATCTACAAGGTTATCTTGTTACTATGCCCAGAACTTAAAAGGAAATGCATCTTTTTGATCTAATATTTTGCCGACTGGAGTTTTCTGAACCAAAATAAAAGAGAAATTAAAGTAAAATGATGTAGGAAGTTCATGTTATTACCTCTCTCACTACACACATATCTTTTGCACTTGGGATTATACGTCAGCCAAGTGCATGTTATTATTACCTCTCTCACTACGCACATATCTTTTGCACTTGGGATTATACGTCAGCCAATGAAAACAAAACTGAATTACTCCATTTTCAACTGTTCAGTGTTTGCCAAAGCCTCCGGTAAAAGAGATCACAAGGCCAGTTGATCTGGTGCTGCACAGTGACATTAGGGCTGTTGAACGTTTTGAGTTTGACCATCAGGTAAACTTTTTTTATTCTTTATTAACTTTGGTAATTCATTTACCTAGATTAATATCTCTTCATGAGAGAGGTAGCTTTAGTTTTGTTCAAAATGCTGCTATGAATATTATCTCAATTTTTCTTTCGTCAAGAATATTTCATACGGAACATGTACATGTATGTCTGTGTAAATAGATTCCCTAAGAAAGTGCACCAATAAGAGGACCCAAACAAATTTCTTCTAGTGAAATGCTGGCGTATGTACGGAAATAACCAATGAAAGTGCATTTGTATCAGGTAGCAGAAAAACTGAGCTATATTGAACAATACAAAATGGAAAGAGAGAGACTACAGAAGGTAAGCCAAGCAAATTTTTGGGATGAAATGCTGCATGTATACCATTTTGCACTTCCATTCTTATTTATACCTTTTATTATTTACCTTCTCTAGATGGCTGAGGAAGAAGAAATTAGGAGGCTGAGAAAGGAACTTGTTCCGAAAGCTCAACCAATGCCCTACTTTGACAGGCCTTTCATTCCTAGAAGGTAGTAACAAATTTCCAACTTTACCTACAAGCTTTTTAGATGAGCATTATTTCTAAATAGGAAATTTGGTGGTCTGCATTAGGTCAGCAAAGAATCCTACCATGCCAAGAGAGCCAAAGTTCCATTTACCGCAACACAAGAAGATCAAGTCCTGCGAGTCTTTGAATGACATGTACATACACAGCAAGAACGACTTGGGATGCAGCGATGGCCTGTGAGACAGTCCTACATTTGGATTTGCATCACCAATTCATATTCTTTTATTCAATGGTGTATATGAGCACTAGTTTTTTCTTTAATCGTCTCAATGTTGATAAAGAAAAAGAAACAGTGATTTTGGCTCAATAATATGCCATCTCTATTGGCACAATCCCCGGGTACTTATGTGATTATGCTTTTGAATGAAAACATTTTGATTGCCCCATTTTTTCGGTTGAAATGATCGTTGTACTTACTCTTCCTGTTGCTCATCAACTCATCGCCAACCTTTTTGATATGTAACTTAGGCAGCAACATGATCACCGTTGATCACAACCTTATTGGAGATTTTACTGTATTACCATGTTGTTTAGTTGATGATCAGATGAAGAAATAAACTCTTGGCTCTTACCTTGTTTTGTTTTTATTTTGTTGTGGGAAATTTGCATTTTTCATTCCTTAAAATGTTGACAAATTCTGGCACCAAGGGTGTGGCCTAGTAGTGAATGAAGTGGTTGAGAATCATGAGGTCTCGATTTCAAAATTCAGACAAAAAAACACACTAGGTGATTCTTTCATCTGTCCTAATCTTAGTGGACAGAGTTTTTTGCTACCTGTTGTTGGTGGGAGGCGATATGTATCGGTATACGAAAGTTGGATCGGACACTACGGTCATCAAAATAAAAAAGGACAAAATCTGATTATCCTTCAATATATGCAGAAGTACATTCGACTTTTAACCTTCAATTACTTGAAGGTGCAGTTTTGACTCTTCTTCTCGTAAATCGTCACCAATTCAAAGAATTATTAACTGTTTACTTAATTAATTACTCATGTGTTATGTTAAATTAGTAGTCTAATATTTGCGGGTACCTTATTTTCTTTATAAACAGACCAGAAGCACATATTTTATTAATATACTCGCAGAGGGATAAAAAAAGACCGTTACTCCTTTTTGTAAGTTGTAAACACCTTGTTGAATAGAGAATAGTTTAATTAGAGATATTCACAATTGAAAATCACATATTAGGCGACAAATTTTCCACGAGACAATAATTTAAGGACAATATCATTCTACCTTAAATTGTTCACTAGTTATGTCGAATCGATCAAGTTATGTCGAATTGATAATAAACATTTACGTGTAATTTGATTTGTTATAAATTTTATTTTATTAAAAAAAACTCGTCAATATTCATTCTACCTATCTTACTAAATTACATAACTCTAAAGTCCAGTTGGATTAATAAAACGTTCATGTATTGTTTGATTGGTTATAAGTTTTGTTATACTGACAAAATTTGATATTATTCATTCTATCTATCTTATTTTACATTCTTGTGTATTATTCACAAGTTTTACAAAACATACAAACTTGTATTATTTTTTTTAATTTTTTTTATAAATTACAGATCAATACCTTAAAATATTTAAAAATTATATTAAACTTTAATTGTAGAAGTTACCAAATATATACTCCGTTCCTTGTATAATAAGTTTTCCTTACATGATCGGAATATAGAAACTAATGAAGTTATATAAGTAGTAGTAATTGCCTTTTCTTCTCAGGCAAGTCCCATTAGCAATAAGAGAGAAAGAGAAAGAAATAATGGAGAATCCGGCGGCGGCGGCGAAGAAAAGAAGCAGGGGACGGCAGAAGATTCCAATAGAGAAGATTGCTAATAAGAATAGCTTACAGGTGACATTCTCAAAGCGTCGAGCAGGTCTCTTTAAGAAAGCCAGTGAACTAAGTGCATTATCTGGTGCTCAAGTCGCCGTCATTGTTGAATCTCCTGCCGGTAAACTCTTTTCCTTCGGAAATCCTTCTGTCGACTCTGTTATTCATCGATTTGAAAAAGGCGAAGATGATGGGTTCAATTCGGGTAGTTGGTGGGAAGATGTGTGTTTGGAGAATTTAGGGTTACAAGAACTTGAAGAATATATGGCTGCAATGCAAGTTTTGAAGAAGAATTTATTGAAGAATCAAGCTAGTAGTAGTAATGATGATTTGAGTATGATGCTCAATGATGATGTGTTCATCCCCAATCTCAATCTCAATCTCAATCTCACTTTGGAGGGCTTCCTCTTCAGTACTAATTTCAAACAAAATACACAGGGAATTTAAGTTGCTAATTTCATTCTTTTCTTCTTGCTAATTACCAGCAAGCAACTTCTGATTTTTGTACCCAGTTATTGACACAAACCTAATTAATGTATTCTTTACATTGTTGAATTTGAAGATGTAAATTAATGTTCTCTGATGAAGTAACCAAAGGGGATGTAGCTCAAATGGTAGAGCGCTCGCTTTGCATGCGAGAGGCACGGGGTTCGATCCCCCGCATCTCCAAATTTTTTTATTTTTTTCTCAAGTCAAAAAGTATAAACAAAATTTCTTCATTCTTGAATAATACTGGTGTAAATCACCATGCACCTCTATAGCTATAGTTACTGTTCAGACTAATAAGTTGTTCTGCATTTCCCTCTTGAATTCGGCGTAGTCTGAAAGCAAGCTACCGTTTACTTTACTCTTCATGTTCTGCAGTAGTCCCCTTAGCACCTGTTCAAAATTGCAGAAGATTAGTCTTTGTTAAACTCCTTCGAAAGAGAGATTAGGTTCAGTATCTAACCGACTCTGCAACATCTCTACGAACAGCTTCAGGGACCAAAGCTAGGACGGGTGGAAGAACAAAGCTAATACTCATCTGTAGTTGACCTTTCAGCCTGGTCCGTGGTCCATTCCTATCGGGGTAAAGAGAGCCTTTTACACCAAGTGAGAACTCAGATGGCTTCAGCACATCATCCAACCCCTGAAGCTCCCATCTTATCTGCATATTTATGTGGCGTCAACTCCACATCATTCCATTACAAAGACAACAAATGTATATATGATTAAGGCTACATGGTGAAGATTTGGTTTGACACTTACTATGTCGAGTTCAAGAACCTTAGAAACATTATGAGGGATCCCCGGTGGGTACTCAACTCCTTTGGTTGTACATCTCAATCTCATATCAATAACTGGCAAGACGGTGATCAACAGGAACTCTATGGGTAGCATGTGAATTCTCCACTCTTCCTGCATGGAACTAGTAGTCAATCATAATATATAATAACAATGCATGTTTTAATAATGAAAAGCAGCAACAGACTGAATAGAGAACACCAATCATTCAATCTCTTGACACTATAAAAGAGGAAAAAGGAACTTTATTCGGAAGTGCTGTCAAACTAAGACATATTTCTCTAAGTCATTCGTGTACATTCAGATCAAACTTCAAAGTGAGGCATTCATCAGAGGATAGCTCTCGAGATATAAGATCAGTCAGATTCCACGCATAAAGTGATAGTTAGACCAACGAAGGAATAGGCATGAGCCTTTTCCTAAATTCCAAGAACCGTGAAAAGTTCCAATTTGGAATATAAACATAACCCACCTTGTGCATTTTGTTAGAAATAACGATCATAAGATCCGAGGACATTCAATCCGCAAAGAGTTCAAAATGAATTTGTGGAGGCAAAAAGAGATAACACCTAGATAGCCAACATATGTACTTAGAAGTTAAGGTTGTAATGGTCGAGAGTAGTACAGTAAAAAATCAACGGAATAGAGTGTCTAACAAAATTACCTTATAGATGCAAAGAAACAGGATGAACTCAGTAGCTGAATTGCACAAGTAACTATGGAAGGAGAACTACTTGTTAATTACCTCTATATCTTTGTTTTCCCACCAGATATTTTGTTCATCAACAGCTTTATAACTACTGATGTTAGGATGAATATACAATCGACGATTGACATATTGGTGCACAATTAGCACAAAAACAAACCAAAAACATCGAGTGATGATACTAAGTTAAGAAAATGGATTGTGGTCTAATTCTAACCCTAAAATTGAGAATTGCCCAAAACCATTTAAGGAGAAACACATATTGTTCCGTCAACCAATGATGAATAATACCTCATTGAGTTGCTGGCTTCTTCTTTTGTCAGGGAAAATGGCCTTGAAAACTCTAGGCTTATTCTCCAGATATCCATCAAACGAAGCCTGCGAACGCAATACATGATATAGATTATACAATTGGCTAATAAAATTAACTAGTTGATTTCTCGATCGGTCACTTAACTAATATAGTAATTATATCATTAACACTCATTTTTTTGTTGTTGAAGAAAATTGAAAATGTGAGAAATTAGCCGACTCAATTTAAGATAAAAGGAGAATTCAAAAATTTAGTACCCTGGGAATTTCATAGAGAGGAATATCAGTGTTAATTCTGCAAGTGTAAGTTGTAGCATTATTTGTCATCTGAGATTTCACGATCAATGGCTGTGACCTCCATTTTTTTGCCTGGGAGAAGAAGAGTATTCCTCGTTTATTGAATTTGGGGACCAAATTGTTGTGGAATGAAGATGAACATGGTGTATGAGCTGCTGCAATCTTTGCCATTTAGGTGTCGATTACTTAATTGAACGGTTTTGACAAGGATTCCATTAATGGTGGAGAGTGATGGACTGTTGCAAAAGGAAAGAGAAACAAGATATGGACAGATAGCCATATCTACATGTGGCAATCTCTCAGTGGTAAGAGAGATGATTATGGCTCCACAATATTTGTTAAGTACTAATCCCTCCGTTTAAAAAATAAATGATCTAATTTTTTTTGTTACAAAAAATAAAAAGACTCATTTTTTTTATAATATTTTAATTTCAATTTTTCATATGACTTGTTTAAGGATCACAAAATTAAAAGACATTTTTACTATAACCATAATTCAATTAAAAGAATAAGAGGAATTTTGATGCATCCAACTTTTTTTTTGGGAAGGCTGATCTATGACTCAATTGTATAAGGTAAATATTTACGCATGAAATTTTCAATTTTTTTGAAATGAAATTTATATATTTGTAAATTACGTAAAAAGTATTATGAGTCACAATAATTGATAATTCAAAATGTTTAAAAGATCTATGAAAAATTTATGGTCAAAGATAGACTTGTTTGACTCTTGAAATCCGAAAGGTGACATATAAAATGGGACGGAGGGAGTATCAAATTTTACATATAAGTTAATTTATGATGGAATAATATTAAAAAAATACATTACTAATTTCTTACTTTGTTGGGTCATAAAATAATCAAAGATGCTATTTCCTAGTAATAGCAGGATTTTGTAATGCACTCTCTATCCATATTTTTTCCAGTATTTAGGATTGGGCAAAAGCTGAATCGACCATAAACCTAAAAAAAAATGTTATTGATTTATTGCTATTTGGTTATTGAGTTAACGGGTTTCTAATAGTTTTATTTTAAAAAAAATTGGTTCGATATTGATTTTTAATATTGGGTAAATCGATAACCCATTAAGAATGTAGTAATTTATTACTTTTACCTACATAAATATGAAATATTAATTTCAATACCTTACTAGTTACTGTCTTTGCCATTTAGCCTTCAATTCATACTTCACATTATACAAAATATCAAAACCTAAAGTAAGAATCACATTCCTCTTAATTTCTTTGTGTTATACTTGTGTAGTTTTTTTCATGTTATTATTGTTTCTATTTTATGAGTATTTGTAAAGTTAATGTCTAGTCATGTCATTTTTTTTTAGAAAGACATATTATTGTTTTGTAAATATTTTCTTATTGGTTAAACCAAAAACCGAACAGTTAAGAATAAAAACAGATAAAAAATATCTTATTGATTGATTATTAATTTAGTGCATTTAAAAATTGAAAACTGGTAAACATAACCGATAATACATAAAATCGAACCGAACCGAGTCGACCGATGCAATTTGGTATACCCCTCAAGGAATTTATTTTTACTTGTCCAATATTAATTTAGTATACCCCTCAAGGAGAAATATATAGAACGCTAACTTTACTATATATGTTAGATTCAATACTTTGACAAATGCATTGAAAATTGGCTATAGTTAACTAACACACAAAAAATAATGTATATTTTGAATATGATGGATAAGTAAAAGTGAACGGATAAAAATAACTCCACGGAATGATTGCGGTACATAACATAACATAAATAATCTTGACAATGAGTTTATTTAGCAAGCTGCCGTGTAGTGCGGATCCTTAACAAATAACAACCTTGTTTCCCAATCCAACGACTTAACCGTCTTTCCCCCTTTTTATGTTTTGTTTTAACTAACTAACTGCTCATATTTCTTGTGACCATTTCCAGCTTCTTCACTTTTCTAATCAAACAGGAAATTAAACTTTCAGAGGGAATTACCACAAACCTGACCATGTCTTACTACCCGAAAGGCCACCATCACAGTGACGATGTCCCTGAATTCGATGAGTATGATCAGACACCCTATGGTGGTGGATACGATATCGAATTGACATATGGCCGTCCAATTCCACCATCGGAGGAGACTTGCTATCCTCCGATGTCTTCCGAGTCTGATGATTTCGACTATGATCGCCCCCACTACACTTCCTCTGCCGAACCCTCTGCCTATGGTGATGAAGCTCTTGATAATGAGTACCAGAGCTATTCCAAGCCCAAGACTCGTCCCTCCCGTTCCCGCCCATCTAGGGATGGGGATGAAGATGAGAACCCTAGTCGCAAGCCTGGGATGAATCGTCCTAGCGGAGGAGGTTATGGTGGAGAAAGTGAGTATGATGAATCCGGGTATGGACGGAAGGGGAAGTATAATGACGAGAGCTCGGAATACAATGAGCCAAGTTCTGATTACGGATCAGGTTATGGAAGGAAAAATGATGATGATGAGTATGGATCAAGGCAGAGAAGGAAAAGTGAGGACGAGGAGGAAAACACAGAATACGGTTCTGGTTACGGACGCAGAAAGACAGACTCTGAGTATGAATCAGGGTATGGAAGAAAAAGTGAGTATGAAGAAAACTCTGGTTATGGACGAAAAGCAGACTCTGATGAATATGGATCAGGATATCGAAAAAAAAGTGAGTACGAGGAGGAAAGCTCGGAATACGGCTCTAGTGGATATGGGAAGAAGACAAACTATGGAGAGGCAGAAGACAGTGGGTATGGAGGGAAATCAACTAGTTATGGGCGTTCAAACTACGAGACAACAGAGGGTGAAGGGTACGGGACATCATTTGAGAGGCCTAGTTATGGAAGGTCTGAGGAAGAGGACTACAGAAAACCCAGCTATGGAAGGCGTGACGATGATGATGAAGGCTATGGTCGCAAGAAATATGTAAGTACCTGACTACTCTTCCTTATTTTTGAATGAATAGCGTAACTAAAATGGAATGTAACTCACTTTTGTGCTCTCAGCTCACTTATCTAGAGTTTTATTCAGCTTCCATTGATTTGATCTTATAAATCGGCAGGGTGATGATGACTCTGAGGAGGACGAGGACGAGGAGAAGAAACAACGTCGTAGGAATCGCCACCGTCGCCAAAACTCTGACGATTGAACAGAGTTCTTCTACCACCTGCACCACAGATTCATGCCTCAGTAGAAGTTATAGTAAATAAAGTTGGCATGTTTTCCTCAGTGTTTGGTGTTTTGTTCCATTACAAACACTGATGATTAAGCAGAGTGCTTTTGTCATCTGCTCAAGATTAATGTCATATCACTAGAATAGTAAAATAAAACTTGGCATGTTTTGTCTGTTCACAGAAGGAAATATTTGCAGTAGTAGCTATCTTTCTCTTCTCTACTTGAATAAAAACCCAGACTTTTCAAGCAATACTATGCCATAAATAGTTCTCTTTTGCTGTGTCTTTATATCAACATCCAAAATTCAAAAGCATACCTTTTGCAAAGTCATTTGGTTGGATAGGACAATACTCCCTCTAATTCATATTAAGTGAATTGTTGGGGTATGGGCGTACGGCACACCCCTTAAGAAAAATATTGAAGGACATAAATCAAAAACTACTTTCCACTATTTACCCTTTTGATTATTCTCAAACTATTCTCCTAGAAAATGTAAAGTAGTTAAGAACCTCATTAAATGAGGGGTAAATATGGAAAAAAAGTCTCGATAATTCACTTATTTTGAACTATGAAAAGAATTCCAACAATGGACTTAATTTGGACTAGAGGGAGGGAGTATATACAAACGGCATAAGTAGGGAAAAGTAGAATTCTTCAATAGTATTAATGATAAACTTTTTACAAACTACACGTATTGGGGATCTTATATGTCATGTCTCTGCAGTTGCTATCAGAAGAAAAACGTTTTCTTTTACTCTCTTTTCAAAGTTACAAAAGTTTTACATTGATTTCTTATTGTACCGTCACATGGAAAATGCCATAGAATCTTCTTCGTCCAATTTGTTTTAAATCAATACTTGATAAAAATGGTAAAAAGATAGAGTAAAGGTACATTATAAAGTTAGAAGGTTAAATGCAATGAAAACTAATTCAATGGAAAACTTTTGGGGAAAAAACAGTCATCCCCATTATGACACTTCTGTTTATCAATTATTTGAAAAGTTACATAGTGTGATATGTAATTATATAATGAGTTACCTACTTCATCTTTTGAGGAAGATGCAGCTGAAGAAGACACATGCTAATGCAGCAAAGATAGAATTGCCACAAAAGTCCGTTGAGAAGCAACTCACTCATCTTCTGCCCTTGCTAAGAAGCAACACTGGAATACAAAAATCACAGTTGTAAAAGTGAGAGAATAAGAGAATTAAAAATACTTACTTCTATCTGGCCTTTCTTGGCAAACTTTCGACCATTCTTTGGTAGAAGCTCCTGCTTTTCACTCAAACTTGATTGACAGGTCAATTACTGTATTCTGTCAGATTCTTGGGGCATACATGGACATCTAAATTCTTAACTCGGTATGATCATATATACTTATGACTGGTCCATAAACAGCTCAAAATGACTAGAATGTGCATCGGTTAAGTAATTTCACTCTCCTCCTTCACAGGCAGAATACATTACTTAAAATTGTTGTGCCTTACTGCCCTCTCAAATTGCAAAAAATAGGCATTTGTAGATGATCATCAAGCTTTTGTTATTACCACAACATTTAAAGTTAATTCCTTTATATTATTGATTGGGTAAGCAGTTATTCAGACCTATAGCACACAACGCAGAAAGTGCACAGTTTTAGCACTATACATAATGAACAAAACAAAACAAGATCGGTCAACTCTATTTTGGTGAACTGGAAACTTCATGATTCATCTCTTCACCATTCTGAGAGGCAACCAATGAGTCAGAATCGGAGTCTTCTGCTGTTACAGCACCTGGGCTATCATTATCTTGGTTCCCAGAAATAGATGAAAATGACAGTGGGTTATGTGTTGAGCTTGCTTTCTTTAGTCCCTGAATGGCTCTTATTGCAGCTAGCGTGCTTCGGTATATATCCCCATTTTCTTCCCCCTGTGGAAATGTTGTATCAGGGAGAACATTGGAAGCATATGAAGAAGTTGCTCCCATCTGTTCATCTGCAGGGGCAGCTGATTCAACAACTTCTGCTTCCAAAGGAAATAGGACCTCAAGATTAGCCTCACACTCATGGACTAATCTCGTCAGAGGTTCCGTAGTAAAGATCGGCTGATGAAGTGCAACTTGTGTAAAAGGAAGACGCAACAATCCCCCAGTTCGTTTATCATACTTCTTCAAGATCTTAACAAGTCCTAATGAAACAAAAAATTGTTAGAGAAGATACCATGACCTAGCATAAATCAGAGGTAGTTATACCTCTAAACCAAGAAGCCTTATACCATGACCTTGCATAAATCAGAGGTAGTTATACCTCTAAACCAAGAAATCTTACTTTCAAGTTAAACTAAAGTATGACTAGTTATGTGAGAGTTGTCCTTGTTTGCCGAGTAGAGCTAGTAGCTCCCATAATTTTACATCACCCCTATTCCTCTCTCTAATACCCATCATCTGTTGTCCCCTCAAAGCATTCCTACTTTCTTTTCTTTCTCCTTCCAACACCCCTCCCTTTCCATCCCCACACCACATCATCTCGTCATCTTTTCTCCCAGCTTCCTATCCTATCCTCTATTTTCCCTTCGTCTCATCCCAAAACCTCACCATCTTGTTGTATCAACTACAAGGCTCTTGAGATTACACATTCCATGTAATCAATTCGAAGAATTAATGTATAAAATCGGAAAGAAAAAGTGAACTGGTAGAAGATATTAGAAGTAGAGGAAGAGAATTAAGGAAGAAAAAATCATCATCAGAAAATGGTTAAAGGATATTGGGGAAAACAAAAACTCAGAGATAGAGGAATTGTGTTAAACATTAAACTGCATGCGGAAAAGGGCCTAAAATACCCTTAAACTATTACCCTTCGTTAACCTTTTGGCTCCAAAATGCCCCTAACGTCAACGTATTGGCTCTAAACTACCCTTATTTTTAAGGGTCCACTTCAAAAATAAAATTAAGAAATTCATTTATTACGTGGCGTGTTCCTATTGGCTATTATTAAAATTAACCTAATTAATTAATCTCAATTCATAATCCGGATCTACCCATAACCCATATCTGCCTCCGTCTAAATGTGGTTCCCTATCTTCATCTTCATTTTTCTTGGTGGTTTATTCTCTTCAATCTTGGCTTTTCTCTGTACTTGAGTTTTAACAATCAAGTCTGCTTATTGAAATGCAACAATAAGATTTGGGTCAAAAAGGTTAACTTTTCGAATCCAAATCTAGCGTCTAAATTTTGACAAATATACAGGTAAAATTTTCATCAGACAGTCTTATTCTTTGGCTGAAATTTTTAAACTTTTTCTCTCAAAGTTCATACATTTTTATCTTTGCAACAGATCTTATGTTCTGTCTGTCATTAGATTTTGTCTTCGATCTCCATTCTTAAACTTCAAGGTCCTTCCTTAGCTAAGAAATATCAATGATGTCAGCTTCTTGATCTTGTTCTCTGAACATTCTTCTTGTGATCTTCATGGACTTGGATTGGAGTTACATGAAGAGTGAGTGTGAAATTGAGAAATTTAGTGGTGGCAAATTATGAATAAACCCATCTGATGCATCTGAACATAGAACTCTTTCTTGCTTCAAATACACCGGTGTTTTGATTATCTTTAAATTCTTGAGAAGCTTTTTCTTCAATTATCTTCAATTTTGAAATTTTCAATAGAAAGTAATCAAATTATAAAAGCTAATTTCTTGATTTAATGAGGCTTTTAGGCAGGACAGATATGGGTTATTGGGTGGATCTGAGTTCTGATTTGAGATTAATCAATTAGGTTAATTTTGATAATAGCCAATAGGAACGTGCCACATAATAAATGAATTTTCTTAATTTTATTTTTGAAATGGACCGTTAAAAATAAGGGTAGTTTAGAGCCAATACGTTGACGTCTGGGGCATGTTGGAGCTAAAAGATTAACGAAGGGTATTTTTGTACCAAATTCAATAGTTAAAGGGTATTTTAGGCCCTTTTCCGAACTGCATGAAAATGTGGAGTGAAGTGAGGAGAAAGACAGCATCCCAAAATTTGGATTAAATTTGTAATAGTCAAAGCTGTTTTGGAGTTGCATTCCGTTTCTGTATCTTCTAGCTGCATCTTTACCTCAGTTTATGTAGTTTGATGAGTTGCTTGTAAGAGTCACATAGGCAATAAGGAACCAATAGCAGTGGAGAAAGTGGGTAAGAGTCTAAGACACATGCAGCTTGGGAAAAGGATGGTGTTGGGAGGACTAGGTGGAAGAAGAAGAGTATGAAAGAGGGAAGGCTTTGAGGAGGAACAGCAGCTGATGGATGTTGAGAGAGAGAGAGGGGAAGAGAGGGATGATGTAAAATTCATCTGGCAAACAAGGCCAACTCTCATAACTAGTCATAATTGTATTTAACACAGTAAAATTTCTCCTCTAATCCTTAGAGCACTATGATGCTGGAAACACATAACTATCACGGGTAACAAATTGCAGAAGTGCAAGGTGAAAATTGACAGACAAAAATTCTATACCTGCAAAATTTAATGAGCTATAATTTTTCAGAAGAACCATCTCCCCGTGTATAGAAACAAAGTCCTTACGGATGTTCATCATTTCTTCACTGAATTCATTGTTTGTTGCAAGAACTCCATCTTCGTCGCTCTTCTCCTTCACACGTTCAATTCTTTCCTTCAGTTCCTGTTATACAAGTAGAGAAAAAGAAAATCAAAATCCACACTATAGCAATTTGAGACTCGCAATGTATTACAAATATCTTTGAGAAATAAAAATTCAATAATACTGCAATACGATGGCTCTCATTCTGTTTCACGTTTGATATCTTACACACTCATTCTTGCATCCTTCCAATGCCTACCCCTCCATTAAGATAGGGAAAAAGATAACACTATCCATTTTCAGTACCCTTCTAAACTCACATAGTGGAATATGAGTCAAAATTCAGCAAATGCGCCCATAAGTTCCAAACTGAAAAATGCATCCTATTCCACTGTCTGCCTCCACAACTTTTGAAGTGGCCACCAGGCCCACTA